ATATACAAGAGACTTTCCCTCACGTCCTAAACTAAAGTCAAAAGGTGAGTGGATCTTGTGCTTCTATATGTCATTTCTACCTTTTTGCCATCCTGCATGAAGTAATATCTTCTTATATGAAACCATGTTATGATGTCTTGCAGGTTGAATTGTGCATTCACAAGCTGGATTTTAATGCTGTCAAGTTGTCACACTGTCCGGCTCAAAATCAATTCCCTTCCTAAAACTGAACCCCTTTTTCCCCCTAAAATCCACGTTTGAACTTGTATTATCTCTGTTTAATTTCTGTGAGGCTTGCTGGTGTGTGTGTTATATGGTGTGAAGTAAAAAAGATGAACGTCATGTGTTCTGCTTTCATAAGATAGATCGTGGTTTGCATATGGATTATCAACTGAATTATGCATTTGTTCTTGTTAGTAATTTTGAATGTCTCTATCAAATGAATGAGCTTTATAGCTAGTACTCTTTTGCTGAGTGTTACAAATTTGCAGATGATCCTTCATACTTGGATCTTTAGATAAGCAGAGACCTGAAGAAGCTGATTATTCTCATTTCGTTCATTGTACAATTTTGTGATGATTTTGTTAGTTACAGCAACTTGATATTAAGTTTTTCGGTCTGTACTCGCTAAAAAAAATTGCAGGCTGGGCTGAAAATGAACCTACGGACATTTTTCCATATTCGGATGGTTCAGCTTGCTAACTGCCTCTTCTGTGCCCATCAACTGTTTCTTAAAATGCCATACAGACACTCTGAGACCATATGATTGCAGGTTAATTCTTCTTAATCCTTCTTTAATCATTATGTATCTATTATGCTTTATTTTCGTTTATCGATTGATTAACAAAATTGAATGATTTGATGGATTACCAGCATCAATGGAAAGATAGGGTTGACAAGAAAGATAATAAGTTCGTTCGGTTTTCTTCAATTGGGCTTGGCCTTAGTAGCACCTGTCTTCATATCATATACTCTTTTTTTCTTTTTTTTACATATCATCTACTCTTTTCGTTTAATTGTAATAGTTTTAAATTTTAAGACAAAAATTTTAAGTAAAAATTTACCATAAAAATTGAATGCCAATTGTTAATTTTTTTCCTCTTATTCATAGTTCTTGTTTAGCCATCTACTTAATTGAAAAAAAAAAGTTTAATTGTTATTTATATACCATGTTAAATTTTCACAAATATTTTTTAAAAAAATTAAAAAATCAAAATAAGACTACTATTGTTGAACATGGAGAGTAATACATTAGAGGTCATGCCACATCCAATATTTTAGTAGTCACCAAAGTAGTCCCTCATTCAAGTGGTTACCAGTTTTTTTATAGATGCATCTTATTAATGGTTAAAATAAACTATTAGCCCAACAATTGGGGGCTTCTCCATTAAGCATGTCAGAAAATACTAATGGAGAATGGTGGGATGGAGGAAGCAACATCAAAAAGTTAGGGGAAAAAGGCGTTAAGTACTTATTTAAAGTATAATTAAAGAAAAAAAAAGTTAAATACTTAATAAAAGCCTACTTAAAGATTAAGATCCTAATTTTCAAAGTTTAACCGTGATTTTGATTAACACAGCTTACAACATTATTTAACTTTAGTATTTTTAAGATAATTAATTGTTAAAAAAATAATAATTAAACAATAAATATTCCCTTATCATGTACCCAAAGGAAAACAGTAAAAAGAAGAAAAAATTATGGAACAAAGTTTTCCAAGCCTAAATCATCTCATAAGGGTGCCAATATCCACATCAACTTGAAAGCAAAGAAACGAGTTCTTTAAATGTTAAACTCCAAATGGGCTGCTTGACGGGCATTGTCGCGCAGGCCTGTGACCCAAGTGGGGCCAATAAGTTGATATGGTGAGAGTACTTGATGGGCTCCTAAAACTTTGGGTCACGTTGCATATATGGAGACAAATGGTCGGCCGATGCATTATTGCGCGGGCAAGTGGTGGGACCTTGGGTTGTATCCTTTTGCATCACTCCCTTGGATTCGGATAGCTGAGCAGCTTGTGCTTATCCTCTTATTTTGGTGCCCATCAACTGTTTGTTGAGATGTCCCACAGATATTCCGAACCAAATCTCACCTATATTTGCAGGTTTGTTGTACTTTATCCTTGTCTTCTTTTGTTTACCCTCTCAAGTTTTACTTATTCCGAACCAAATTCAGTGCAGTACTTCTGCAGAGACAAATTGGTCCGCCATCTGCTAAGGGTGAGACCTCCGGATGTATAACTTTATTGAACACGACACACGGGAAGCAACTCAGCTTTTGCTTTTCCTCTTTGCTGTCCATCAACTGTTGCTGTACAAATACTGTGAACCAAGTCTGGACAAAAAAATGACAGGTCGGTTTTACTTTATCCTTCTCTCTAATCTTGCATTTACTTGGACTCTGCTGGTTATTAATATTAAACTGAAATTGGCATATTGGTTTGTTCGTTTGTTCGTTTGTTCGTTTGTTCGTTTGTTCTTTAGATAACAAAATGCATATCAATAGTTTGTTGAAGGATTATTGGTAAAAGAAGATTAGTCAATAGCTGTCATAATTTTTTTAGGGATTAAGAAATTAAAAGAAGATAATCAGGGATTTAGGAGGTAGGCCTGGCGCATTAAGGGGAAAGGAGAAATTTTTATGGCTGGATAATTTTGAATTTACTTTCAGAGGCTAAATTCAATTGAATTTGGCTTTGGGGGAGATGGGGGATGAAAAGTGCAAAACAAGCAGCAAGCCTGACCAATCGAACTACCAAAAACGAATAGAGAATTTTGAAGAATTTATTGCATGTTTGATTGTTATTAATGGATATTTCTTGGTTGAATTATAAAAAGTAAGTTAAAATTGATAAATTTTTATAAAAAAATATTGTATTTAAGTCTTGATATAAAATCTTTTTACATTATTAGAAAAATCAAGAAATACATATTTTTTAAAGAGATAAAAAGAATATATATTTTTCATTCATCTATTACTTTAGTAGAAAATTAAGTTCATTTAGGTTTAGCTATTCCTAATTTTGTAAAGAAGTTTCTTAAATTTATTCCTGTTTTTATAGTTTAACTAAGGTTTTATCTGGGAGTATTAGATTGTGCTGTAATAGTAGG